TATATATATATATATATATATATATATATATATATATATGTATATTTATAGGAGATTCGAGACAGATGTATCAAGTGAGAGGTATTCTTTGTGAGAGTATGTAGCTCTGAGGACTAACGAGTTAATCTAGGGAAACTGAAGATAGGAATTCTAATGAGGGGGCTATTAGTGTTTTTACGTTTAAGATAAGTAGTATATGCACTCATCCAATGACAAACTTATAGTAAGTTTGTTCATTTTTAGTGTTTATCATAATCAATGTAAAAAATCATTTTAAAGACGGTTTTTTAATTAGCTGATGGTATAATATTTTGAATTCAATATACATAGAAATTAAACTTGTACTTTCAGGTCAAGAGCTAGAGTTATATAATGTTTAACAAAGTAAGTAAAAGATTATAATACTATATTTATCTATCACCTTTTTAAAAAAAATTACTAAATTAATGAATATATATTGAAACTAAAACTATTTTATTCTCGTTCTTAAATATTCTTTGAGGTTGGGCAGGATACCATCTCCTCATTTGTTTATTTTTTCAAATAAAAATTATATAAAGTGAGATATTCAGGGATTGATCATGTTATTAAATTATATCACGAATTATCAAAATTAAAATATAAAAATTATATAACTTAAGTAACTTGTAATTTTGAAATTAGTCCATACAGATAACTTAACTAAGATTTCCTCATACAGATAACTTAACTAAGATTTCCTCTCCCTATGCAAGTAAATATTTGGTCATAAAAAGCTTAGCACTGCATTAGTAATAGATCCAAAAATTTTAAATAGTATGTAGCGGAAATATTTATATATAAATTTGTAATAATAAATATATAATTTCTCATTTTTTAAAATAAAAATATGTTTTAATTATTGTTTATGAGATTTCATATTCTAAAAATATGGAATGATTTTCTCATTTTCAACATCTTCAAAATTATTTTTCTTTATATAAATAACAAAACAATCATTTAACCATTCATTTCTCACATTAAAACTTTGTCTTTTTCTTTTAAATATATAAAAAATATAATATGAATTTAGATAAATTATCATCTTTTGACTAAGTTTACTTAACTATAATTAACATAACACATATGCATACATATACACATATGAATTTGTTAATTTACAACTACTTATTTTTTTTAAAATGAGTAAATTAGCAAGTTACATCTATATGCATTTCAAAAAATATTACAATAATAATATGTTAATATGCTCCTTTAAAAAAAAAAAAGAGGATATATGTTAACAAACTCTATATATATCCAATAACTTACATCCATTTATTTTAAAAAAAAAAATTAAGTTAAAACATTTTTTAAAGATATATATATAT